CTTTCAGTTGCGACATGTCCTCAAGCTGGTCATACTATGAGTAATGTCAGGGTTTGATTTTTACGGTCTATCATCGGAGAAATCGGGATTCCTAAATTCTGAAACTGTGTTAAAACTGGCCAAGACTACTGTTGAAGGTGACCGACCAGGAGAATATCACTGTTGAATTTGGGGGCTAGTTTCAGGGAGTACGGGGTTACTAGGCGGAATCAGAATCGATTAGGGATTCCTGGAGTTCCAGACCACAGCATGAATTTCATTCGTTTTTAATGAGAAGTTGAGAATGATAGAATCTACATAAAGATAACCCGAAAAGTGTTCTGCTCTTTGCGCCTTTTCAAGGCTTAATGCCCAGGAAGGTAAGCACAATCTCTAAACTCCCAACCCTAAATCCCAAACGCTCAAGGCAAACCCTAAACCCTAAACCCAACCCTAAACCCTAAACCAATAGGAATGGATTCCTTAATTTCCTACTTTTCTCTTTTCGTCATCGATTTAGAGCTGAAATAGTAAAAGTCGGTTTCGAATTTGAGATTTTTCATGAACTGTTAGTGAAACGGCGCTTGCTTGAATAAGAATTAAGGGGGCCTCCACAAAGCGGTTTAGGGTTTAGGGTTTAGGGTTCTAACAGGAATTTTGGATATCCATGGGACAGGCATTACAGTTGCGGAGCCAATGCAGATGGTCGGACTTTTTGCAAGCCACGATCTCAAGTAACCAGTTAAGCACTCAAGGAATTGAACGTGACTCACAGACTGGCTGAAGGACAATCATGTGTAGCTCCCTGCATCAAGAATGTGACCCCGTTCTACCACCATATGATGCCTTCATGGGATATGTTTGTTTACGAGAAATCTCCAGTATCCCGACTGCTGCCATTGTCGCTTGTCTCTCAACAGAAATCCATTCAAGATAAGATCAAGCCAATGGCCAGGGCTCTGGATGGTGGAGGCCTTTCGAGCCTCCTGTTCCTGTGAGGAAGTTCTCAAGTGAGGGATGATAGAAAAAAACCCGATATAAGGTTTAAGAGGAAGCCCGTCCTTAAGTTGGAAAGCCTGCAAAACGATAAGAGAAAAAAAATTATAACGCCGATTCTCGGACCATTCGATCCCATGAATCTGGCTGTTATGTGCCCACAACCCAAATAGTCGTAGCAAAATTCCCAATGACCCCAGCTGATTACATGGCAAGATGCCCAAGCATCCTGTCCCAGCTCCTTCTACTTCGAAAGCTTCATATCCCCAAGCTGCATACATGGCGCGGGAACTTTTATTTATGGCTGTTTATACGGCAAGAACCAGTCTCCCAGCTGTACAAATGAGAAGAATGCATGGAATCCTGGCGGTCTGTATGTCGATTGCCTTTTAATATTAATTGCTGACATGTCAAAGTTGCTTTGTCGACTCTCTATTGAAAAAGACCAAGCACCCCTACAACCCCAAGCTGCTTCTATGGCAAGACTTCATTTGAGTCCATTGTCCTTGCATGTCAAGAATCCCCATAATCATCCTCATGAACTTAGCTGCTCGCTCGCTAAAGCCCCACTGCTGCGTATACCGGAAGGATCCTTGTTTTCCTGGCTGCTTCTATTGCGTGAAGCGCGATATGGTAAGACTCCCTATATATAGTTGTTTCTATGGCAAGAACTCTCAGAATTCGAGCTATTTGCAACAGTGTAATTCTAGCTGCTTATGTCGTAAAAGGCTGTTATGGCACACGCCCCTATCATCCTAGCTGTCTATGTGACGCGCAACACCATTGAAGGTAGCTGCTTATATGGCATATGGCAAGAATTCCGATGATCCTCGACGTTTCTATGGAAATATTTCCTAGACCTCTACTTGCTTATACAGGAATTGTGCTTAAATGCTTGATTTGCAATATCGAAGCAAACCGTGTAATCCTAGCGGTCTATACAGAAGTAATCCCTGTAATCCTACCTGCTTATGCGGAATTCTGGCAACAATCCAAGCTGTTGGTGGCAGAGCAGCAGCATTCCCCGATGTTAGGTTTGATTTGTAGTGCCCTAAACGATAACAAAACGATAAGCAAACGTTAACAAAAGTTGCAAACTTCTGCGGATGCAACACAATTCCTTCCCACGGCCTGGAATTTTGGATTTTGGGGGCAATCCATTGTCTGCAATGTGACGCTGGGAAGACTAAAGACGGCGCGGCCTCATAATGGCCCCATAACTCGCGATCATATCCCACAACCAGCATATCATGGCCTCTCATGACCTTTGGAAGCTGGCTTCCAGTCTTCAGCTCGTATTTTCAAATCATCAAGTTTCATCACGGTTCCGGAAATGGGCCACTCCAGCGTTGAACTTGCACCTCTGAGTTTCCTTTCGGCTTCAGAGATGAGTGATCCCAGTATTGAAGGTTTACTATGAGTTCAAGAATGTAAATGGTATTACAAATCCATGAATTTCATGCCTGCTCTCGCGATGTACGAATCCAGTTTCTAAACTTGTGTTGTTAATCAATGGCTTTCATTCCGGTGCTAAACTTGTCCTACAACTCAACGAATTCCATTCCGGTTACTGTCACCTGAAGCAAAGAATTCCAACCCGGTTCCGAAGACGAGCGATTCCAGCACTGAACTTGTATTACAAACCGATGAGTCTCTTTCGCGGCACGGGCATTTGGCTTAGACCCATCCTAGAATCCCAAAACTGGCAATTGACAGGGGACGCTGATGTCGAAACCAGCTTGTATAAGCCGAAGTGAATAAACAAATTGGCTTGCACTCATACGCCTTTAAAAAAAACGGTTGCCGTAGGAACGCTGCAGGTAT